TTGGTATATACCGCTATAAATTAAACGAATGACATCAATTTTGAAATTCGGAGAAGAATTGTGATGGCCAACAGATGCTACTATGGTCTAAGTAAGCAGTTTAGAAACAAGGCCACCTCCTGCCAGACCAAACTAACACTTTACATGACGCTGATACTACCCGTGCTGTTATATGAAGCATGGGTACTTGCGGAAGCAGTTGAGGCAGTTCTTGGGGTGTTTGAAAGAAAGATCTACGGGCCGATCTGCGTCGACGGTGAATATCGGCGTCGAATGAACCGCGAACTTTACAATTTATACGCGGACATGGACATAGTCGTATTGAGCTGCAGCGACTACGGTGGCTAGGCCATGTTGTGCGAATGAATGAGAATGCCCCAGCTCAAAAGGCATATAAAAGCGAGCCCACTGATGGTTCCCGTAGAAGGGGAAGGCCACGAATTAGGTGGAAAGACAAGTAGAAAACAACCTCTTGGAACGTGGTCTTTCAAATTGAAGGAGATGCACACAAGACCGATGCACTTGGAAATCTTTTTTAAGCTCGGCTTATGGAGCAACCGTTCTGTAACAAAACAGCTAAGTAGTAAGAAGGGTTTATCCACATTTCCCCGGAGAAATGGCCGTAATATTTTAATCGGTACCGATCAACATTCGGTAATTGAAGTTCATATTCAGTTTTCGAATGTGAGTGTCTGCAATTTGGTACTTGTTTTTTCATAGCATAAATAACCTATAAATATACCGATTTTTTTAAAAATTTTGATTTTATATATGAAAAACTTATTTTTCGATTTTACTTTAAAAAAAATTGTGTACGAAAACATACACTAAATTATTAAAAATAATATTTTAATTTTTATTTTTTTTGCGATTTCTATTTTCATGTCACACATTCTCGTAGAAAAAAATAAAACGAACGAATTGCTTCAATCATATAGCAATCAATAAATAAAAATGTTCATTCGGCGATATGACGATATTATTAATTTTTATTACAAATAGTAAAGAATAATAATAAATAACATTTCTGTTGAAACTATTTAGAAAAATATAAAAGATTTAGATTAAATATTTAGTGCTAATAATTATAAACAAAATATTATTAAAATTATATATTTTTTAAAAAAACAAACTGAAGTTTGCAAAAAAAAAACAACTAGACAAAATATTAGAAATTCTTTATAATTCACAAAACAAACAAACACACACACACGCATATATTAAGCTATATATATGTTTGTATGGATATTTACATACAAACTCACGTTAACATTATCTTCATAGTTTAAATTATTATTAAATGAATTAAAAAAACAAACGAGATTAATTAGATTTTATGTATTAACGAAGAGTGACGACAACAACAACAAGAAAGAGAAACACTAAAGCAAAAAAATAAAAAAATGAACATTTAACGAAACTATCTGAAAAAAAAGAAAATTAAAATTGCAATTTTGTTTTATTTGAAAAAAGGAAGAATGGTACCTTGAATATTTGCTTCGTTTTAGGACCTACAAGAATCTCCTTTTAATTGTTTTTTTTTTTATAAATTTTAAAAATTTTGTGTACCGGAATACACACACGCACACTAATACATTATAACTAATTATGAATGTGAAACATAGCTCAGTTTATATATAACCAGACAATGCGGCTTCAACCTCCTTTTTCCATCGATTTCGGTCAACCTCCACCTAATAGGTTTTAGATGTTCATTCCGCAATTTGAACCTGTCCCTTGAGTGTAGTGTAGACTACCTCAACCCTGACACACGCCAACTATACTCAAACCATGGCCTGCCTGCTGATATCAGCTACATGTTTAATGTTACGCATTTGGACCGCTCTCTATCTAGATCAAAAATATCTATCCGTATCTACCTAGGTGCCGGAATTCGGTACATAAACCTATGACAAGGAAAGTTTCTGGCAGTAAGAACCAATATTAATCTTCGATTCCAGTTGTAATGTGTATCATTTACATTCGCATGCTGCACAGGTACCACAAAGCTTAACAATGCAGTAGGTGGTGGTCGGGTACTGCATACGTCTGGTACATTATTAATGGTCTCCATTAATCTCTGTCTACCATAAATAGTTATTCGACTGCTTGTTTTCACAGTTAAAAACCGTTACCCCTTTTGTATAACGCAAACTGGCCAAACCGAACCTTTTGACGATCACCAACCTCAATCAGGAAAAGCTTCTTCAGGTAACAATCGGCTGACAACCAATTAGCATCACTGAGACCAGAGGGGACCCGTGCTTGCAGAGCAAATTGATAGCTCCACGTTCTGCACGGTAAATAAGGAGGTCCCACAAGAATAAAGGGAGAGTGTTACAGTTTGTCAGACATTTGCCATTGTGTCACCGGGTCTAATAAATGACAACAACTGGCTGCCTGTCATTTCTCTTGGCTAATAAATTATAACTAATTATGAATCATATATGATATTTTCAGCTGTGAAATATTTCATGTTCATCGGACAGACATAGCTCAGTTTGGTACATTTGGTAAAAATTATAAATATCGGTCCATATTTTCGGGTAGCCCCCATATAACGGTACCCCCAATTTACGATATTTTGTTGGTTTTAAGCGCATTTTTAAACCGAATTCGCTGAAATTTGGTACAATGGGTTCTTATTGGGTACCAAATTTCTTCACTAAAAATTATAAATATAGGTCAATTTTTTCGGGTAGCCCCCATATAAGCCACCCCCAGAATTTAGGCATCTCCCCCCTATAATTATGCCTCCTGAAGGAAAGAATAGAGACACAAAACGAACAGATATTGGGTACGAAATTGGCACTATGTAATCTAAATTGCAGTAGTTTGAAGAGTGTATATTCTACCATGCGTTATTAGTATCAGTCCACGCTTTGGGGGTTTCTTTAAAAAATTGCCGAAATTTGTATTTGGTGTATACAATGGTTTGGTTGGGGTAAGTTTATAACGATAATATCAGACATCCTGGAGGGTGCCCTTTCAACCCTGTCAAATTGGGCTTGCACCAAAGGTCTTGGTGTAAACCCCGCTAAAACCGAATTGGTGCTCTTCACTAGGAAATACAAAATTCCTAGTTTCCGCCTGCCATCACTTGGTGGAGTGACTTTAACCCTTTCTGATGAAGCTAAATATCTTGGCACTGTCCTAGACCGCAAGTTACTGTGGAATGGGAATATCGAGGAACGCTCCAAGAAGGGATTGCTGGCACTCTATTCATGCAAGAACTCCATAGGCAAGCGTTGGGGATTGAGACCCGGAATTATACACTGGCTGTATACGACGATTGTCTTACCCATACTTACTTATGGATGTCTTGTCTGGTGGCAGGAGGTGAATAGTAGGGAATCCTGGACTAGTGGCTCCCTACCTCTGTCAGGTCTGTAAATCTTTACAGACGGGTCCAAGATGGAGGAAGGCACTGGCGCAGGCGTCTACTGCAGGGAATTAGGTATACAGAACTCATATAAACTCAACAATGATTGTAGCGTTTTTCAAGCAGAGATTCTTGCAATCACGAAAGCGGCCGATATAGTAAAAGCACTTAATACCGACATTACGGGACCGGTGACTATTTACGTAGTCAGGCGGCCCTGAAAGCGGTGAAGTCGCATACTATAAACTCGAAAGCAGTTCATGATTGTAAGACCGCTCTGAATGATATACGACAAATAGTTGGGCTATGCTGGGTTCCAGGACATAATGATATTGAAGGGAATGAGATAGCCGACGAGCTTGCTCGAGGGGGGTCACAGTCGTCCAGTCTTCTGATTGAGAGATCGGTGAAACCCCCTATTAGCTATTTCATTGGCAGAATCCGCGCGTTCCATTGCGAGGTAGTCGGCAACAGATGACTGAGGGAACCTGCTTGCAGAATCTCTAAATCTATCTGACCAGAATTCTCTCGTAAAGAACGTCTTCGCTGCTGGATCACAGCAAGAGGGAGATCAAAATCGTTGTGGGGATCATTACTGGTCACTGCAAAGTTAGATCTCTCACTTCTAAGTGGGACTCCAGTGGAGAGGATTACTGTCGTCTATGTGAGGACGAAGAAGAAGTGGAAACAATTGAGCACATCCTCTGCAAATGTCCATCGCTGATCAGCAGAAGACATAAACAGTTTGGATGTTATGAAATTGATAATCTAGCCTTTTTCTCCAAAATAGACCCTAAGCAAATTCTAGGCTTTGTCTAGGCTTTGACTTGGCTAAAATAATGTCTCTTCCGCTCCCTTTTTCTCAATATTTCTCTCTCTACTCTTCCACTATCTTTTTTCTTCTCTTTATAGGTATACCTATACATAAAGGATGATCACAATGGACATAGTTTCCGAGTGGACGGTTGTTATAACAGCCGTACATCCCTAACCTAACCTACAATGGTTTACATAAATCGGTTTATAGGTATAGCTTCACATTTTGGTATATTCCCAATATTTTCATTTCAAGTATCCGTCAGTACACCTATGGTAGAGGGTATCCAAAGTTCGGCCGGCCGAACTTAACTCTTTTTTGTTTCTAGACTAATTTTAATTGTCATGTCGGTTGGGTCATATATTTTAATATTCCAATCTATTCTAAACTTAATTCGTTGCATATGGATCTTAGTATATGACAATTTATTTATATACGAGAGACATGTCTCAACCTAAAGCAGCCCCGGTAGTCTTACAGAAAAGGTTTGTATCAATCTGCAATTCAATTAAAATCAAATCATTTTCTTTCTTTTTTTATTAAGTTACAAACTTTATTTAAAAAATTTATATATAAAATAATTTTGGACATTTCGGGTTAAAAAATAAGATTTTCCTAATATAATTCCATACAATTTTATAAACATAATTACATATCTTCAACTTTATTTATTTATTTATGTTTTAATAATTTAAATTGCACCCTATTATTCAGCTAATCAGGTAGATTTCATTGAACATTCCGTTTACTTTGGTTATTATTTTTTTTTCTTTCTTGTGAAAATATATTTACACACTTTTCTAATAATTTACAACTTTGATTTGGGTTTCTTCTTGAGCATGTCACGTAGAACACGTCTTAAAATCTTGCCACTGGGATTTTTGGGAATTTCATCAACAAATACCACACCACCACGTAATTTCTTGGCGGGGGAAGCACGTTCAGCAACAAAATCAATGACATCTTTTTCGCTTAGTTCAACATTGGCTTGTTTGACAACAAAGGCCATGGGCAGTTCACCAGCCTCTTCGTCTGGCTTGCCAATAACAGCAGCATCTTTAATCTTGGGATGAGTCAACAATAAGGCCTCAATTTCAGCTGGTGGCACCTGGAAACCTTTGTATTTAATCAGCTCCTTGATGCGATCGACAATAAAGAATTCAAAATCATCATCGAAATAGCCAATATCGCCGGTATGTAGCCAACCATCAATAATGGCACTTTGAGTTGATTTCGGATCACCAATATAGCCCTTCATAATACAATCACCCTTGAAGCACAATTCACCACGCTGATTGGGCCCCAACACTTTGCCCGTATCGGGATCAATAACCTTAGCATAGAGGCCAACTTTTAGAGCGCCAACACTACCCGGTTTACAGGCATTATCATTTTGTACCAACAAACTCAATGTGGATTCGCTCAGGCCATAACCTTGACGGATAATTGGCACACCAATACGTTCTTTAATTTGATCCTCGGTTTCTTTGCTCAAGGGTGCAGCACCGCACAACAATACCATCAACGAAGATAAATCATATTTTTCGACAATTGGATGTTTGGCAAGGAATACCATCAATGGTGGTACCATAAATGCCATCATAACGCGATATTTCTCGATGGCGCTCAAGAATAGGTGATCTTCAAATTTGGGTAAGTACACCAAACAGGCGCCCATACAGCCGGTGGTGATCAATGTAAGACAACCAAAAGCATGGAACCATGGAATGACAGTTAACATTTTAATTTCACCCAAGGGCAGGGCAGTTGGTTCTCTGGAAAAAAGGAAGATATAAAACGTTTAGATATTAACCAAAGAAAAACGAAATACATTGGGATTTTATGAGTCGATTTATGCATGTCCGTCCGTCCGTCTGTTGGTGTTAAATAGTAAACAAAGTACAGGTCGATTTATGATTTACGAAAAATCGGTTCAGATTTAGCTCCCATACATATTTTTGTCCGATTTAATGTAAATGGTGCACCAAAGTCCCTATATATTTTCCGATTTACACGAAATTTTGCACAGCGTAATGAATTGGGTCTGGAATCATGTCTGTCAAGTTTTGTGAAAATCTGTTCAGATTTAGATATAGCTCCCATATATATTTTCGTCCGATATAATGTAAATGGTGCACCAAAGTATCTATATATCTTTCGATTTCCACGAAATTTGGTAAAGTGTACTAAATTAAGTCTAGAGTGATGTGTGTTAATTTTCGTGAAAGACGGTACAGATTTAGATATAGCTCCCATATATATTTTCGTCCGATTTTATGTAAATAGTGCACCAAAGTCCCTTTATATCCTTCGATTTGCACGAAATTTGGCATAGAGTACTGAATTGAGTCAAGAACGATGTGTGTTAAATTTCGTGAAAATCGGCTCAGATTTAGATATAGCTCCCATATATATTTTTGTCCGATTTTATGTAAATGGTGCACCAATGTCTCCATATATCCTTCGATTTGCACGAAATTTGGCATAGCGTACTGAATTGAGTATAGAATGATAAGTGGTGAGTTTAGGAAAAATCGGTTCAGATTTAGATATAGGTCCCATATATACGTTCGTCCGATTTTATGTAAATGGTGCACCAAAGCCCCTATATATCCTTTGATTTGCACGAATAGAGTGATGTGTGTTAAATTTCGTGAAAATCAGTACAGATTATAGCTCCCATATATACTTTCGTCCGATTTTATGTAAATGGTGCACCAAGATCCCTATATATCCTCCGATTAGCACGAAATTTGGCATAGCGTACTGAATGAAGTCTAGAGTAATATGTTTTAAGTTTCGTGAAAATCGGTCATGATTTAGGTATAGCTCCCATATATACTTTCGTCCGATTTTATGTAAATGGTGCACCAAAGTCCCTATCGATTATTTATCCTTCGATTTGCACGAAATTTTGCATAGCGTACGGATATGAGTCTAGAATGTTATGTGGTATGTTTCGGGAAAATCGGTTCAGATTTCGATATAGCTCCCACATATATACATATTCGTCCGATTTTAGATAAATGGTGCACGAAACTCCTAATGTTTGTCCGATTAACACGAAATTTTGCACAACGTATCAAATTGAGACTGGAATGACGTTATTGCGTTTTGTTGAAATTGGTGCAGATGCAGCCAAAGGCCATATGTATTTCGAACGGGCGTCTGATCGAGATTAAATTCTTAACAGTGCGACGTACCAAATACCCTGTATGAATTTTTATATAAATCGTTTTCCATAAATTTGCACCATGGTACGCAACTGACTCTAAATCTGCCCGAATGAAATTAAATTTAGCATAGGTTGCTGAAAGGCATGAGTATATTCCTTCGAGGGAACATTGACAGGCAATTGTAAGGATACATATGTACAATATACCCAATGTGGTGAAGGGTATCATATATTCGGCCCAGTCCGAGTTTACTACTTTCCTTACTGGTTTTAAGTACATTTTTAAGAACTATAAGCATCACTTTCATAATAGTCTGATAGTCTCTATATAAACCTGATTTTTTTAAAGATGTTCCCAGAATAAAATTCTTATGACTCTAAATTTTGAAGAACTTTTGTTAATGGCTATTGTAAATTAATTAATCTTCGAAGTTCTGTTAAGACAAGTTCGTTCTTTTTTTTAGTTACTTACAATTGCGAATCGATCGTACTCAAAATATTTGATTGTGTCAATTGTACACCCTTTGGCATTCCAGTTGTACCCGACGAGCATACAATCAATGCAACATCATCATCCTTATTGGCAATTACACATTCGAATGTATTTTGTGATGGAATTTTATCGCTCTTCATTAATTCATCGAATGCCAACACATTAGAGCTGGGCGATTGATTGCCGAAAACAATAAGTTTCTTAACGAAAGAATTATTTTTTGCCACCTTGGCAATGCGATCAATTGTCAGCTTGGATGCAAACATTACTTTTGGTTTCGATAAATTCATGGCATGATGAACTTCGCCTGTAAATTACATTATAAAAGACATAGTTAAAGCACAATTGAATATGAATGCAAAAAAAAAAAGAAAAAGAACTTACGTTCCGAATAAGTAACATTCAGTGGTGCCACAGTGGCATTCACAACAAAAGCGGCAAACAATGTGATGGCATACTCCAAACGATTTTCACTGGACAAACCGACAACGTCATTGCTTTTAACACCTAGATGTTTCATGACATGCGCCAATCGTACAATAGATTTGTACATAAATTCGGCGGAGTATTCTTGACCGGAAACAGCATCGATCTGGAAAAAGGGTAAGGATAGACCTTATTATTATTAATTCTATAATAAGACAGGATATTTGTAATGCCCCACATTATGGGCTGTAAATAATAATTGTCGATATATGCCCTTAATAATAATTTTGGTTGTATGTGTCGATCGGATATAAGTAACATTTTTATACCCTTCACCACACTGTGGTACAGGGTATTATGTCTTTGTGCATATGTATGGCACAGCTCATTTATTCGGCCCAAGGACGAGCCGTATTTAAATTGGAAAAAAATCGGTTCAGATTTAGATATAGATCCCATATATATTTTCGCTCGATTTAAGGTAAATGGTGCACCAAAGTACCTATATATCTACTAAATAAAGTTTAGAGTGATGTGTGTTAAGTTTCGTGAAAATCGGATCAGATTTAGATATAGCTCCCGTATATATATTCGTCCGATTTAAGGTAAATGGTGCACCAAAGTACCTATATATCTTTCGATTTGCACGAAATTTGACATGGCGTACTGAATGAAGTCTAGAGTGATGTGTGTTAAGTTTCGTGAACATCGTTTCAGATTCAGATATAGCTCCGTATATATTTTCGTCCGATTTAAGGCAAATAGTACACCAAAGCCCCCTATATCTTTCGATTTGCACGAAATTTGGCATAGCGTACTGAATGAAGTCTAGAGTGATGTGTGTTAAGTTTCGTGAAAATCGGTTCAGATTTAGTTATAGCTCCCATATATATTTTCGTCCGATTTTATGTAAATGGTGCACCAAATCCCTATATAACTTTCGATTTGCACTTCATTTGGCATAGCGTACTGAATGAAGTCTAGAGTGATGTGTGTTACGTTTCGTGAATATGCAGATTTCGATATAGCTCCCATATATATTTTTCTCCGATTTTATGTAAATGTGGCACCAAAGTCCCTTTATATCCTTCGATTTTCATGAAATTTGGCATCGAGTCTAAAATGATTTGTGGTAAGTTTCGTGAAAATCGGTTTAGATTTCAATATAGCTCCCAAGTATACCTTTATTTGTCCGATTTTACCTAAAAGGTGCACCAAACTCCTAATGTTTGTCCGATTAAAACGAACTTTTGCACAACGTATCAAATTGAGATTGGAATTACGTTATTGCGTTTTGTTGAAATTGGTGCAGATGCAGCCATAGCTTCCATATGTATTTCGAACGGGTGTCTGATTGAAATTAAATTTTTAACAGTGCGGCGTACCGAATAGCGTGTATCAATTTTGCTATAAATCGTTTTCCTTAAATTTGCCCCATGGTACGCTTGGTCCATGAGTAAGGATACGTATGTACAATATACTCAAAGTGGTGAAGAGTGTCATACTTACTGGTATGATACTCTTCACCACAGTAGATGTTTCTTTATATGACTCTGAAAGTGAATCTATATAGTATATTCTCAAAAGTAACATTGGATCACAAAGATATGCAGAAAAATATAACATCCTGTACTACGGTGTGGTGTAGTTCTTTAAGAGCCTCTGATCATTAGGTTCGAAGACGAGTCTTAAACTAATTAATGATTTCGTTTTCCCAGTACATTGGTTATCAACGTGTTTAAAGTTCAAAACATGTATTTGTATTCGTACACGTTTTTTAATAATATATACATTCGATCCAAAGACATTGATCCATCGTAGCTCAATGTTTACAAATTTGCCTGCGTAATCATAGGCGTTAATGTATCAAATTGACATAACAATGATATATGTATATATCTATATATATATATATATATAAAAGAGCTTAGTGTTAAGTGATTGAGTGAGTGAGTGAGTGACTGACAGATCATCGCCCAGACGAAACGGCAAAAGCTAGAAGCTTGAAATTTTGAGTATGGGTTGTTGTTGGTGTATAGGCGTGAGATAAGGCTGGGTTTTTGGAAATTCGAACTAGAAGGGTACGAAAAGTACTAAAATGTACCCAAAATGGTACCCTGTGTATTATGCGAACGGGGAGAGCTAGAATTCTGAAATTTGGAATGTGGGTCACTGATGGAAAGTTAGAAAGATGTACAAAAGGGTTTTTGGAAATTCGACCTATAAGTGTACTAAAAGTACTAAACATTACTAAATTCAGTACTAGTGGTATATATATTGAACATATATAGCTAGAATCATGAAATTTTATGTGGAATTCAGGTTGGAAAGTGATGTTGTTGTATAGAAATGGTTTAAGAAATTCGAATTCGAATTTTTATACATATAAAAAGTACAAAATGGTACTAAATTTGGTACTATTTGCATTTAGTTGAGTGTAAAATGATGGAATCCTGAAAATATGAATTAGGACTACTATTGGAGTACAGGAATGTGTTAGCTTTAAAAAATCGTACTTATGTGTACGAAAAGTACTAAATGGTACTAAATTTGGTGCAAGTTGGATTTAGGTGAACAGATAGAGCTGTAGTCTTCAAATTGGGAATTAAAATGACTGTTGGAGTGTTGAATTGAGGTAGTTTAGGAAATTCGTACTTATTGGTACGAAAAGTACTACGTTTAGTACAATTTAGATTTGAGTGAAAGGATGGATATGGAAAACTTATAATTGAAAATAAAATTACTGTTAGAGTATAGGATTTAGACAGTGTTGGAAATTAAAACTCATAAATAGGAAAAGTACTAAATGGTACTAAATATGGTACAATTTGGGTCTATGTGAAAAGATAGGGCTGGGATCCTGAAATTTATGATTAACATTACTGTTGCAGTGTGGAATTGAGGCAGTTTTAGAAACTCGTACTTATGTCTACGAAAAGTAATAAATGGTACCAAATTTGGTACAATTTGGATGTTGGTGAACGGATAGAGCTGGAATCTTTAAATGTGATCTTAAGGGTATTATTGGAGTGCATGACTAAGGTAGTTATGGAAATTCGTACTTATGGGTACGAAAAGCACCAAATTTGGTACAATTTTACTTTGGTGAACGGGTAGAACTAGAATCCCGAAAGTTGCAACTTAGGTTGGGAGTGTAGGAAAATTACAGAATGGTACAAATCTGGTACAATTTAGTGAAAATACAGAACTGAAATTTTTAAATTTGGACTTATTGATTACAGGTTTGGAATATTGAGGTAGGTTTGAAATATGGATACGAAAAGTACAGAATGGTACACTTTGGACTTTGGTGGGATTAAGATTACTGTTGGAGTGTAAGATTAATGTAGTTTTAAACATTTTTATTTATGGGTGTGAATTGGTTGAAACCTTAGATTTGGGATTTATATTACTTTAAAGTGTGGTATTACGAATAGTAGAAATAAATATAAATAAATAGAAATAAATATAAAATGCATTACATTTTGATAGGAATTCTGATCTATTTTTAATGTGTAATGGAAATAGGAAAGAGGTTTCGGAATATAGTGATTATGTGTATGAAGAGTACTGAATGTTAAGAAACATGATATCAGCTGTAGGAATAGAAGTGGAACTATATAGAACTATGGTACAACAAATTAAACCGTATTCACGATTTCCATATGAAATGTTATTATTATTTTTGTATTCCTTTCCGCATACGAAGTAGCGGGCACTTTGCTAGTACATATATATTTATCTAGTTGTCATTAACAATCAAAAAACATCATTTACTCAATGTCCCCTATTAATATTTTTACAATAACAAAAAATATCACCCCCATGGAGCTAGTCAAAAAAATAATAGCACAATCACTGGCTAGCAAATTTGCTCTTTGTTACTTTTAACTTATCATCTTGTTCGGTTATCATATCGCTCTACTATTATCAGGTACAAACTGCAAACTAAGACTCTATTGCTATATGACCGACCAATAATCTCTTTGGCAAATGTATATATTCAAGTACATACATATGTACATAGTTTTATATGCATAAAAAAATAACTTACCAAAACAGTTTGTGTTCCAAAGCTCTTATATTTTTCCATTGCATAGTGGCCCAATGATTTGTATTGTTTGGTTTCAGTACCAGTAACTGGTCCACCATATACAATATTACCCGGTAATAAAGTTGCCATAGTGAGATCTAAAATAAAAAAAATATTTTAATAAGATTAAGCAAGATATGGAAATTTAAAAATATATATATAGGCTCAGTTAGAGGACCTCCAAAAATCATCTCACTGTGGTACACTGGGGTGATTGTGGTATTACTCTTAAGGATATACATAGAATCAGTCTCTGAGTCGATGTATGCACGTCCATACGTCGATGTATGCACGTCCACTAGCTCATTAATTAATATCCACTAGCTCATTTATTTGGCCCAAGTACCAAACCTATTGAAATTGATGAGAATCGGTTTAGGTATAGATATAGCTCCCATATATATTCTAATCGGATTTTTATGGAAATGATGCACCAATGGTCCTATGATTATTCGATAAGCATGAAATATTGCACAGAATACCGTATTGAAACTAAAATGACATATGTAAAGCCATAAATGGTACATCAAAAATTGTGTGTTTGACACAAAATTTGTAATTCATAACATATCAGTTATAATTCGAGAATTTCATTTGTAATTCATAGAATACCTTTCGACATTCATAGAACTCCATTTTAAATTCAAAGGATTCATTTGGAATTCATAACATTTGATTTGGAACACATAACATTTGCTATTCATAACATTTAATTTTAAATTCTAAAAAAAATGTAGAATAATTCTTGTAAAGTTTTCTTGAAATCAGTTAAGATTTCGATATAGCTCCCCTATCAAGCATTTCAAACATTTAAAAACATTTGTCCGATTATTACAAAATTTAGTGGTCTTTTGCAATTTATATCTTGAACAAGTAAAAATGAAAACCTAAAATGTCTAATTCGTTTGAAAAAATGTCTCATATGTAGGCTGGGGAGCCAATTAAATTCATTTAGAATAAAAATTCAGGTTATGTTTGGCCATGAAGGCTTTGTATTACAATATGAATAAATGAAATAAAATATACAAATATGGTGACTACATAAGTCAATATCGATAATTATTGATAGGAAGATTACCGCCAATTTGGTTGAAAAAAAAAACCTACCCAAAATTTTCAACATATAGACAAACAATTGAAAAAGCGTTAAGTTCGGCCGGACCGAACATTGGATACCCTCCACTATAGTTATAAGACATATTTTAATTATTTTTGGTAGGAAGATTTGTTACCATATGCGACTACAAAATACCAAATTGAGGGTGTCTTATATAGGGGCTACCCGAAAAAATGGGACTAAATTTAAATTTTTGGTGGAGAAGTTTGATACCCAATAAGAACCCATTGTACCAAATTTCAGCGAATTCGGTTTAAAATCGCGCTTAAACCCTCCAAAATACCGTAAATTGTGGGGTACCGTTATATGGGGCTACCAGTTAAAGTGGACCGATATTTATAATTTGTAGAGAGAACCTTTGGTACCCAAAATGAAACCAATATACCAAATTTCAGCGAATTCAGTTGAAAAACGCGCCCAAGAACCCCAAATCACCAAAAATTGGGGGTGCGCTTATATGGGGGCTATCCGAAAAAATTGACCTATATTTATAATTTGTAGTGAGAACATTTGGTACCAAAAAAGAAACCAATGTATCAAATTTCAGCGAATTCGATTGAAAAACTCGCTCAAGAACCCCAAATCACCAACAATTGGGGGTACCCTCATATGGGGGCTACCCGAAAAAGTGAACCGATATTTATAATTTTTATTTGATACGTTTGGTATACAAAAATAACCCAATGTACCAAATTTCAGCGAATTCAGCGAACCCCAAAATACCGAAATTGGGAGGTATGGGCTATGCGTAAACGTGGACCGATATATCCCACCTTCGAAGTTGATCTGCAGACAGAAGACTACCCTATGCACCCTATATCAATTCCTTCAGAAGATAGCGTGATTACAACAGACGGACGGACATGGCATTAACGTCTTAGAATTTTATCGCAAAATCCCCCTAATAGAAGTGGGAATTTTAAAATTCCCGCTTTCCATTCCGATAAAACAAATGCCGGCACTGTATTGTAAAATAATATAGGGAGCACCTCATGCAACCTCTTCATATAATTGGCCCCTTCGACTTTGAACTGTTCTTTACATCCATCTTGAGATAAGATACAAAGGAAATATTTCAAGACTATTTGATATCGGACATTAGGCTTGACTTAAACCATCACATTTTTTATTTATTTTTTTCTCCCGATTTATATTTTTAGTTTTCACAATGAAGTGATTTTCGATTTTCACCTCTTGGGGTAAGTCCAATTTCACCTAATTACCGCAAATTTGAATAGCAAATTGTAACATGGAAATTAATTAATTATATGTACATAACAAAATTAAAATTACACATGCAATAAATCAACAATGTTTCAAAAAATATTGTACCCAATTTTTTTATAAACATCCAGTACTATCAACAAAAAATATCTAAAGTATTATTAAGACAGAAAAGAAAAAGAAATCAGTTCAAAGTTCAAATTGCTATTGATCACTTCAAAAATTTCTACGTGAATTTCTTTATATCTCTGCCATGACGGCGATAGTTAATGTTCTTTTCAGAAATATCAGCCTAGACCAATTTCACACACTCTCTCTATATTCTATTATTGTTTTTATTAAAAATATTAAAATTTTCCAATTGTTTTTTTTTAATTTTTTGTCACATCATGTTAGTATTTTTTTTTTCGTTTTGCTTTAACATACTTTCTTTACCTTTTTTTCCTACTACGATTGTCTACGATTAAACAAACCACTTAATAGAGTCAATGTTTATTTTGGTTAATGGAACAACGAAGATAGCAGCAAACCGACCGTCCCACTTGGCTTCCAAAAAACAACTGAGAACTGTTATTAAGAATAAAGTTGCAAATATATTTTTCCGATACTTACATACTAGGTGTTTTTTTCACTTTGGGCTAAATTTTTAGTATTTCTGATAATCTTTATTATTGAGAATTATTTCAATTCGGATTGATAAAGAAATTAAGTTAAATTATTATTGAAAAAAAAAACTACGACTATATTTTACTCTCTTTGTACAGTAATAAAAACGCAGGGGAGATTAACCACCTACCATTATCTCTCGGATCGACATTCACATTTTTTTTTTATTTTTGATTTTGAAAAAGGGGGTTGAATACGGCGAAAAGGGGGAGGTTGTGAACATGTTTATTTATCAACAGCTGACCATTGACGGTTAATTATGGAAACGGAAACGTAATGTAACGTACACTCGATTGCTGTTAAAGGAACATTAACAGCCGAATAAATAAAAAAATACCAGGAATTACCCAGAAACTATTTTTCTTTAAAAAATTAGTTTAGTTTTTATGTCAGAATAAGGAGAGAAAAAAAATAGTCTTATTTTTAAATTGTAAAAAAATTGTCTTATTTTTTATACTTGTTTTTAATATGGAATTATCTTCATTTGAAAGTTAAAAAGAAATCATGAACCAATAGAATTTGGGTTCGTTCGCTTACTTTCCCAGTAACATTTACTCAGTAAGAATTTACAGAGAGTAAAATACGAATTTTTGGTTTCAAGAGAGAAAATTGCAAAAAAATTAAACAAACAACATCCAGTAAAAATATTGTATCGACACAGCTGATTAAAACCAAAAATAATTTGGCGCAAACAAAAAAGCAGCATTTTTATTAGAAAAATGGATAACAAGCTGAAAATTTATGTTGTTTACAAATACTTGGGTTTACTTCATCCATTTTTATGTTAATAATACAAAGTCAATATAAAATTCACGAAACAATCAATTTGCTTGTGAACAATTTTGTTGTTTATTTACAAAACATAACAAGATAGCTGATTAAATATCAGCTGATGGTACAAGAAAATGCTTACTCTGTAAATTTTCCTTGTAAGAGTTTGCAAATATTCAGTAATGCAACTGTCAAATCTGTTTGCTCAATTCACTCTCTTTTACTAGCATTTTGGTTAAACGGACAAAATTTTGTAATAATTTGTACAAATTATTGAATAAACGAACGAATCTATTATCATATTCATAACGACCTCGAATCAATAGTCGCTTTTGGTATATATATATATAGTCCCCATATTATAGAGCAAATCTACCTACCAAGTATCGATAATTTTGGGATTGTTGACATGTATTTTGGATTGTAATTGGGAAGCAAATCTACTTACCAACATTGATCAAATTTCACTATTTCACCAAATTGGATGTACTTTTATATTTTCATTGGGTGTGAAATCTCTCTACACCGCTTCGGTATAATAAATAGCATATTCTATATTTTAAGGTGTTTTTCAACCTTCATTGGACATTGTCCTTATGTTCAAGGTCAATGACCGACATGGTAATATAGTTTTATATTTCGTTTTCTCTTAGAATTCCTCAATCGATTGTACGTATTTTGAATGTGCACCTCATGGTGAAAGTCCGGTTATGTTATTAGTGCCTTCTTGATCAGCAGATAGTGTCTTTAATGAGAAATTTTGTTTTTCGAAAGGAAAAAGTACTCGTCCAAAAAAAAAGACATGAATACCCATAATGCCTTTCATCTATCTTAAATGAGTAGCCTTGTATGCTATAAGTTTTGGAGATTTTATCAAATTTGGACCAACATCATCAAAGTCAAGAGGTCACCTATAAAATATCAGACAGAAGACAAGATGCATAAAATCCCTAAATTCATTCTTCCTATTTTGAATTGGGTAGACTTGGAGCTCGCATTTGAAGCCAAATATCTTGGAACACAAAAAGAAGTAATGTGCTATTATTTTATCTTCTAATATATTTAATTCTATGTACAGGTAATAAAACGAAGTTATTAATATTTTTGTGTATTTTAATTGTTGTTGTTGTTTTTAGTAATTTAACATAGTATCAGAAAATATTACATTACGAAAAAGAATTCTACATACAATTAATTAAAAAATATATAAAGTTCAATGATATGAAAAACTTATCTACGATAGCGGTAACGTTTGAAATGGAACCACAATTGAAATATGTTATTATGAAATTGGCAACGGAAACCTCTCTTATAGCTGAACTCCCATTCACGATGAACAATTTTAAAGGCAATATCTTCATAAGGTGGCCCAGCACGAAATCGTAAAATTGCAAAATCTGGATTATCTTCACACTGGGTGAGAAAATATTGTGGAGTTTTCGATTTATCAATCAGGTCGGGATAAAATATATTGAATTTATAGCCCTGGACAATTTTCGGCGGCGGATTATCCATATCGTAATGGGTCTGATTGTACTTGTTCCATTCGAAACCGGTGTGTACACGATTGAAATATCGAGGTTTACGTGGTCGATATTTATCCGTTGCCAATTGTATGGCCAATGAGTTGTCGCAGGGCATTTCAACGGAGAACTCAACTTCGTCGCTAGACATTCCTTTGCGTGCCTCTTGGCGCATGCTGGCCAATTCTTGAGTCATGCTCGACTCTTGGTTCATTTCCAGCAACTGTTGTCTCATCGTATTCAAATTAATTTCATCGTCCTCTTCGTCCACAACATTAAGTGATCCTTGATTTTCGAAGGGTATATACGTTGGGCTATATCCTCCTTCATCGTATAATGCGAAACAATCGCTTTCAAAGACTTCTGTGCCGGCATCGTTGCTTTCTTCGTCTTTATTGTCCGTATGATGTGGCGATTCCGTGGAACTATTTTCCTTTGCTTCTTCCTTGACTGATGTTGTTTTCAGCAAGTCCAGCTTCTCGCGCAATTTCTTTTGATGATGATCCCTTAGTCGTGCCCGAGCCATATGAGCTTTTAGCTGAGATAAAATATTCTCCCAATAACTTATGTCAACACCTTCCGTTCGAGACTCAATTTTACTTTCAATTTTCGCCCTTAGCTCATCCAACTGGGCTATAGTTTTGTTACGGAACGTGGCCGAGACATCTTTGACCACACTTTCATGTATTCCTTCACGGCGAGAACTTACAGCCTCATCAAGTTCTGCCTGTTTCCTCTGTTTTTGCAATTCATCTTCGACGATAATTGTCATGTCGTTCCAGAAGTCTATATGTTCTCCTTTCTCCAGTTCTATATAGACCTTAATGTCGACCAACAGATCCTCCAGATCTTTTATATTTAATCCATTGAGAACAAAGTAAGGCTCATGCATTTGCATTTCAATTGCATCTTCCAGTTTGGAATCGTTGATGTATTGGGCCAGTAAATCGATAGGCTTTGCCCGACCATCTTGGATGCGAATTTCACTTCTGAGACGAGCTTGTTCCAAGTGGAATTGATCTTCTTGTTTTTCCCATTCATGGAATTGTGCGGCTTCCTTTTCTCTTTGCTGCAAAATCATTTCCTCTTCCCGTTGTTGTCGTTCCCGTTCTCGTTCCAATCGCCTCTTCTTCACCTTTTCCAATTCAATTTTGTTCTCCAGCTGTTTTTGCCGGTTGATGGCTTCAACAGTTTGGAGGGGAGCATCTTTCAAACCCTGCTTCTGCAACTTTTTCGACCAAACAAATGTGGATGTTAGATTTGAATCACCAAAAGGATTGTCTTGATCGGTGTAGGTTTGATATTCATTGTCCCAGCCCATGCGTTGTTTGCGCCTCAATTCCTTGGCTTCTTTCTCCCGCAATCGTCGTTCACGTTTCTGTTCGGGAGTTTCTTTTGCTTTCATTTCCTCCTTTAGACGCTTTTTTTCTCGCTCTTCCATTAGACGCCTCTCCTCCAAAGCTTTTAAGAGTTGGATGTTTTTCGGCATGGATTCATCTTCCGATGATGAAGAAGCTGAGGAGGATGACGACGACGATGAAGAACGATATTTCTTTTTTGATTTAGATTTATGCTTGGATTTGTTTTTATGGTGACGATCTCCATGTTTGTCTTTTTTGTGTTTCTTTTCCTTGGGCATTTTTTCGGCGTGAAAAATTGAAGGAAACGTTTGCCACTTTTTTTCTATTTGTAAACACTACCGTCTGTAGATATTCGATTAAACGATTATCTTTGCCGACTATATTAGGGAAAACAAGGGCGAATTATATGCTACATGGTAGCTACGTTGTTACTTTCAATACAGGTTTTATCAAACATACAGGGTAACACAAAACACATACTTTTTATTAGTTTACACCATGATGAAATAATAAGGTGGTGTATCAAAACAAAAACTTTTGTTTTTGTCTCGACCATATTTCAATTTTTTCCTTATAATATTTCACATGGTTGGCAACATGCACATCAAATTCAAGTAGAAATTAACCTGCGTGAAGTTAGCGACATCGCTAACTTTCGATAACAAAATTTTTATCGAAATTACAGGGTGACACAGAACATCACAATTTCACATTTAACACTATTTTTATCAACAGTGCTTTCCAACAGAGATAGCGCAGAATATTATAAAATAATATTTTTTTAAAATTATTAATAAAAAGGTTAACATAATTCAGTAGAAATGAAAAATAATAAACAATACGAAAATGTTGAAACATATTTTATTATAATCTAAAACTAAAGTATTACTAAATCACAAACATTTTAATCCAGTGAATCAGGAGAGATGTCCGCCTCTGGAAGCCTCCCTATACAAACCTCGAACATAGTGATGGTACCAAATGAAAGAGGGAGTCTCTACGAGTATTTTAGTATGCACCATATGTTCAGATTCAGTTTTTTGTAGAACAAAGTTGCTGAATTTCTTATTTCCAACTGGTGGTCACGACACCAAAATGGCTCTGGAAGCCTCCCTATACAAACCTCGAACAAAGTAAGAGTATCAAACGAAAGAGGGAGTCTCCAAGAGTAGTTTGGTATGCACCATATGTTCAGATTCAGTTTTTTGTAGAACAAAGTTGCTGAATTTCCGATTTCCAACCAAAATTGCTCTGGAAGCCTCCGTATACAAACCTCGAACAAAGTAAGGGTATCAAACGAAAGAGGGAGTCTCCAAGAGTAGTTTGGTATGCACCATATGTTCAGATTCAGTTTTTTGTAGAACAAAGTTGCTGAATTTCCGATTTCCAACTGGTGTTCAGAACACCAAAATGGCTCTGGAAGCCTCCGTATACAAACCTCGAACAAAGTAAGGGTATCAAACGAAAGAGGGAGTATCTGCGAGTATTTTGGTATTCACCATTTGTTCAGATTCAGTTTTTCGTAGAACAAAGTTGGTGAATTTCTGATTTCCAACTGGTGGTCAGGACACCAAAATGGCTCTGGAAGCCTCCGTATACAAACCTCGAACAAAGTAAGGGTATCAAACGAAAGAGGGAGTCTCTGCGAGTATTTTGGTATGCACCATATGTTCAGATTCAGTTTTTTGTAGAACAAAGTTGCTGAATTTCCGATTTCCAACTGGTGGTCAGGACACCAAAATGAGGGAGTCTCCAAGAGTATTTTAGTATGCACCATATGTTCAGATTCAGTTTTTTGTAGAACAAAGTTGCTGAATTTCCGATTTCCAACTGGTGGTCAGGACACCAAAATGGCTCTGGAAGCCTCCGTATACAAACCTCGAACAAAGTAAGGGTATCAAACGAAAGAGGGAGTCTCACAAAGTAGTTTGGTATGCACCATATGTTCAGATTCAGTTTTTTGTAGAACAAAGTTGCTGAATTCCTGATTTCCAACTGGTGGTCAGGACACCGAAGCTAACTTTGTTCATTTTTTAATTCAATATATTTAAAAAATGTTGAAAAATTGCCTTAGTTTTTAAAAGATAAAAAGGGAAGACTTAAGCATAAAATAGTATGTACATTAGAACAATTTAGATCTACTGCATTTACTAAATCTAGTACAGTGTAAATGTAGTATTAGGCATGAATGATTTATTTCAATCAACGACGCTTGTATGAGCGACACAACGAAATGAACAGTGAATTTTTGTGCAAATGGTTATGATCCAAGTACAGGCGTTGTTCCGGGGGGATAATGATGACAAGGAATTTCATACCATCGAGTCCACCACAAACTAAGTTAAAAAATGAGTAAGAACTTCACCGATTGGCTTTATCCTAGTTCATACACTCACAGAAAACATCCCAAATTTTGAAATCGATTGGATTATTAGTTTTTGAGTTATCGTATCCGCCATCAAAAATAAGGACTTTTATTTGATCACAAACAAAAACAAAAAACAATTTTTGTAATTTATTTTTCTTCCTTTTTAAATCTTCAAATATATACACCTTAGTCTGTTTTTACGCGGTAGATTGGTTCCAGCAGTAGCCGTGTAAAAAAGGGAATTCCCCTAAATTAGTGCTATTCACATTTGCTTTGACCAGTAAAAATTGTTGTTTAGGTGTATGTGCAAAGTTACAAATATTAAGAAGCATTGGTATTCATTTACCAGCCAATTTAAAATCTTAAAAATAAAAAATTGGAACAACTCTAGTTTAGTAAAAACGATCAGATTTTTCCGAAATTTTTTCCAGAGGTAGGTATTTTTACCCTAACTATGGGGATATCTTTTTTTCTTGGGGGACGTACCTAGTTACCCGGTTATTTGACCCGGATGTTCGGGTTCGGGTACCCGGTTATATCGGGTTCAACGGATCCTGTTAATATAAAATGGGTATCACCACTCAATTGAAAGGTATTTTTATAACCTTTAAAATGATACCCATTTTATATTAACAGGATCCGTTGAACCCGATATAACCGGGTACCCGAACCCGAACATCCGGGTCAAATAACCGGGTAACTAGGTACGTCCCCCAAGAAAAAAAGATATCCCCATAGTTAGGGTAAAAATACCTACCTCTGGAAAAAATTTCGGAAAAATCTGATCGTTTTTACTAAACTAGAGTTGTTCCAATTTTTTATTTTTAAGATTTTAAATTGGCTGGTAAATGAATACCAATGCTTCTTAATATTTGTAACTTTGCACATACACCTAAACAACAATTTTTACTGGTCAAAGCAAATGTGAATAGCACTAATTTAGGGGAATTCCCTTTTTTACACGGCTACTGCTGGAACCAATCTACCGCGTAAAAACAGACTAAGGTGTATATATTTGAAGATTTAAAAAGGAAGAAAAATAAATTACAAAAATTGTTTGTTGTTTTTGTTTGTGATCAAAGAAAAGTCCTTATTTTTGATGGCGGATACGATAACTCAAAAACTAATAATCCAATCGATTTCAAAATTTGGGATGTTTTCTGTGAGTGTATAAACTAGGATAAAGCCAATCGGTGAAGTTCTTACTTATTTTTTAACTTAGTTTGTGGTGGACTCCATGGTATGAAATTCCTTGTCATCATTATCCCCCCGAAACAACGCCTGTACTTGGATCATAACCATTTGCACAAAAATTCACTGTTCATTTCGTTGTGTCGCTCATACAAGCGTCGTTGATTGAAATAAAAACGACAAGCATGCACGTATAGACACACAACAAGCATGGACTATTAATAAGGTCTACAGGGGGTAAATTCATGCCTAATACTACATTTACACTCTACTAGATTTAGTAAATGCAGTAGATCTAAATTGTTCTAATGTACATACTATTTTATGCTTAAGTCTTCCCTTTTTATCTTTTAAAAACTAAGGCAATTTTTCAACATTTTTTAAATATATTGAATTAAAAAATGAACAAAGTTAGCTTCGGCAAAGGCATCGATATAGTTTTAAAAGATTAAAAACTTTCCTAAAATACACAAAATTAATATTAAATGGGGTAAAAAATAAAGGGAGAGGGGGCACCTTTGAACAGCGCTCATAAAATCTCGATTTAAAATTTTCCCGACCCGCAACCAAAATTTTTTATGTGCCAATCTTGTTCTTTATCTGCGTAAAACTCATTGTACATTAGAACTTTTTACCAGGTTAACCTACTTTATGAGGATTTATTTGAAATATATGCAAAGGAATTGACAACTGAAACCCACTGGGTTAACGAAATCCGGTTAAATGTAAACAGGGCATAAGCCATTTTGGCTAGCTTTTTCAGTGGTCGACAAAATTTACATGAGTGACTATGTTTTCGCACTGCAATTGTAAACTTTTCATTTTTTGGTTGTAAGGGCGCAGGAAGAATTCAGTGATAGTTTTCTTTCGATAAACAATTTGTTTGCATTCCAACAATCATTTCAAACATATCTAAAATATTTTCTTTCATATATATTTACTACAAAAAAAGTTATTATAAATTTCCGTAAAATACCACAGGTGGGACACCTTTGAACATACCCAGTAAACTCCAGTAAAAAACGGAGTTTTTGACTTTTGGCTTCGATTTCTCAAAAATTTCAAATGGGATAATAAGATTACGAAATTAGATGTATTTTGCACCATATAAATTTTTGATTTTATGTCATTTTATGTTTTAATAAATTTTGATCGAATATTTTTGTATATATTTTTTAATAAGCATTAGAATGTGATTTAATTTTAAAATTAATTTTATTATGTTTACAAAGTGATTTAAGTTATGCTAAATCCATGGCATAATTACGCAAGGTAGTCTCATGCTGACATATGATTCCAATTTTTTTCATAAATTTAATTTGCTAATATTCAGTTTTTAAATTTTAATGAAAGTTTCCCCCTTTAAAATGCATGGGTGAATTGTGTTATATGGCAAAAAGTGCAAAGTAATGTATATTATTTTACATTTTGAAAATTTCTGACCTCTTTCATTTG